AGCGGTTGTTGTCGCCTGACTGGGCGCTCTAGCCCCACCCCCTGCTGCCCGACGGTTACACGAGCGTTGGGGCTGTGTTACACGAACATTTCTTTAATGTTATTTGAGCTTATTGACGCAACGGCACATCAATACAAGTAATCTGCTGAAAATGCTCAAGTACTGCATTTAGGAACGGCCGTTGCCTGTATAAGTGGGCGGGCACCGTTGGGAATTGACTCGAGCGTTACACGGGCAACGCTGGGTATTTAATTGTATCAGTTGCCGTTACACGAGCATTGTTGACGTGTTACCTGTAATCTGATTTTTTCGCGGGGTTATGTTCCCCGTCTCCATGGAACTCAAAGACTTCAAATTCACCCCCCAGGCGTGCGTGGTTCTCGCGTATGGCCCCGTAACTCCCTGGCGCGAAATTCGCTAACTTGGGAATCAGGAAAACTGGGGAGCTGAAATTTTCAAGGGATGTTCCTGGCACATGTGCAACTTCAAATAACCAAATTCAGCCTCTAATTGTGTGTGGTACTCACATAAGGCACCTTGAAAATTTCTGGCGCGAAAATGTTTAACTCAAGAGCCAGGGAAGCTGGGAAGCTGAAATTTTCAGGGAATGTTCACGGCTTAAGTAGAATTTAAATTTATGAAATTCAGCCTCTCAGTGCAAGTGGTTTCCACATACGGCCCCGTGAAAGTTTTTGGTGCCGAAAAGGATAACTCGGGAACCTGAAAAGCCCGGAGGCTGAAATTTTCAGGAAATGTTCCCATCCCATGTACGGCTTAAATTTATCAAACTCACCCCCCAAGCATGCATGGTTGTCACGTACGGCCACGTGAATGTTTTTGGCAGGGAAATTGCTAACTGAAGAAGAAAATTAGGAAAGCTGAAATTTCAACGAGGTGTCCCCTGTCCAACTACCGCATAGATAATTAACTTTTCAGGCTTCGAGGACCAATATATCATACATTTCTAGCTACTGGGTTTCCGAGCAACCTCACTGCGGCGCGAAGTATTGCAATAACGCATGATTGCACGGGCCAGCCCGCTGCGCGTCGCTAATGATTTCTCATATTTTCAGGCTGTCCTTTTTTTATTATGTTCAGCCAAGTGACGCCTATATCCCTCTGCTTGCTTCTTGCACTTGTCAAAGCCCAACCGCAAGCCGGCGCAGGTGGTCAAGGAGCCGACGCAGGTAAACAAGGAGCCGATGCAGGTGGTCAAGGAGCCGATGCAGGTAAACAAGGAGCCGATGCAGGTGGTCAAGGAGCCGACGCAGGTAAACAAGGAGACGATGCAGGTGGTCGAGGAGCCGGTGCAGGTAAACAAGGAGCCGATGCAGGTGGTCAGGGAGCCGATGCAGGTAAACAAGGAGCCGATGCAGGTGGTCGAGGAGCCGGTGCAGGTGATCAAGGAGCTGGTGCAGGTGGTCAAGGAGCCGGTGCAGGTGGGCAAGATGCCGGAACAGGTAATCAGGGAGCCGGCGCACAAAATCAAGGTAATCAAGAAAATAGTGCAAATACCTTATTTCGTTGGTTAGATTAGAGCCGCGCCTGTGCAAGGAGTGAAAAATCTAAACAAGCTGATGCTCAGTGTGAAAGGGGGAGAGACAATGATGCTTCGGGATGTGTATGCGGACAACAGGTAAACAAACAAACAAATAAGCAATTTAAAGAGGTAAGCATACAGTGCGTCAAGTATCTTATTTCGTTGGTTAGATCAGAGTCTGCAGCTTCCTGTGCACCTCTGCAATTCCACTCATGTTCCTCCACATGATTCTTTTTTTGAAGTTACTGCATTTGCGCTTTCGAATCCCGAAGTACTGCTATTTCTACGATTTAAACAGTACATCGGCACTTTTTAGTCCGACATAAGTAGTTACTCAAGTGGATATCCAAGCTACCTTCTTTTCCTTTCGAATAGTGCTGGGTTCTTTTCTAGCGTCTGTTTGGCTTCCCTTCTGTCCGGGCTTACTTCTATACGCAAATGAACTCGTTTGGACTCTCGTTTAGAGACCAATTTTCCAACTTTTTGAGCAGCAATAGCAACCTTAAAACATTCTGCATCGACAACTGCTCCCCCGAACAAAAATACTGATCTCTTTTCCTACGGATTTTGCTGTCAGTCAGAGCATCTTTGGTATAACGGGCACAATTTCTGTAAACAGTGATGCGCACCAAGAAACCGAATTGAATTTTTGCCTTTTCCCTCCCTCCCCGTCTTCGTGAAAAAAACCCGGATTCTAAATTATTCTCCTGGTCCAGTCTCCTAGTTCACTCTCCTAGTTACGGATATTTATAAACCCAGGCTGGAACGCACCAGGCTCTCCGGTGTGATCATGCGTTTTTGCACTAAACTTGCAGATCGCTATTAGCAGGAATGACTCCTACGTTGTAGCCTAACACTTGGGCTGATATTGGCCGTACTTTGACCCTTACCGGCATGTAGGAGGAAGGGCATCAGTTGGGATGAAGGTGATGCATTATTGAGTCGCACGGACATCCAGGTGCATGATTACCGGTTTTTTGCATGCAGTCCAGTCGTTTTTTGAAAAATGAAAAGTGCAAATTTTTTTAAAAAATGCAAATTTCCAGTCCACTAAAAAGTGAAAGTATTGCTTGACGGTCGTTTGTCAAAAAACTCACGTTCATTTACATATACGATTGCGGTTAAGGTCTGAGCTGCGAATGAATTTTTCGAAAATATGCAAATTTTCAGTTCATTGAAAAATTGAAAGTATTGCTCGAACGGCCGTTTTTCAAAAAATCCATGTTCATTCGCATATGCAGTTGCGGTTCAGGTCCGAGTTACTAACGATTTTGGGGTTGAGGAGCTGCTTGAGGCTGTGGTTGGGGAGCTAGAGAGCTGAGTTTAAAATTTTTATCTCGTACGTGCATAGAGAATACCCCTGCACAGTTTTAGCTTTCTACGTTGCCTGGTTCGCGAAATCGTTTCCCGCCAACGTATTTCTTTGGGGGTCCCGTACGCGGGGTCTATGCGCGTGTGGGGAAAGATCTTAAAACGGAAGGATGACACAAGGCGTAGGAACATATATCCAAAGTTTCATCCTCCCAGCTTTCCTGGTTGCTGAGATGAAAGTGAGTGATAAAATGCACTCGCTTTCCACACACACACACACACACACACACACAGGCAGCCTCTCGACAATATGCGTTTTTGCTGGCTGTAG